CAATTTCCCAGTCTCACATGCAGATAGCAAAGGAGAGAAAATCAGCCCTTGGAGGAAAAAAACAGTGAGTTGATTTCTTTAAGCTGAAAGATCAGTAGAAATCTCAAACTGCAGATTTATTTTTTCCTGGAATATTTCGAATAACGAGAGGCTGACTCTCATTATAATCAATTATTCTAACAAGATCATATGAAATTATATGATAAGGCAACATTTCTCCACTAATTTTAGAGTCCTGCTAGAAACTCTGGTAAGTACATTCACTTTTTATCTTGTTTTCATTTAAGTAATAACATTTATTTAATGACATTGTTCATTTTAAGAATTCTCTTTTTTTTTCTTCATATTTATAATAATGCTAATTGGGAAAGGAGATTGGAAAAGGGTCAGCTATTTTTTAAAATTTTCTTCAGAATTCTTTAATGCAGTACACTTTTCACCACCAATAGAGGGCGCTCTATGTTTTTTAAAATGTTCTAAACCAGCAGTAGGTATATAGTCTAAAACAGTTTAAATATGTCACTTTATTAAGGAAACGAATGCTCTCGTAACTGAGCAAATAATGTTTATGTACTTTTCTATTTATCTTAGGATCGTTATACCCTAATGAAAGGAAATTGCATGAACTGGTAAAGAGAAAAGGTTAAATCCCTTTATGCTGCTGAATGACGACTGTGATTTTGTTTTTTAATACAAGTTTATATAGTCTGACTGTACAACCATGTTCCGTTGCTGCATCATAATTAATCAAGTTATTTATTAACATACGACACACTACATAGATGCTATTTTTATGTCTATAGTTAAACAGGGTGCAGAATCCTTTTTTACAGTTTTAATGACATTTAGATCTTTCAACCATTACTAAATTACTTTAGGATGGTTACATTATCGTTCTGAAAAATACATTCTCGTTTTCTGCTTTAAATGTATTTTTTTGTTTAACGTTGGTTCTTTAAACCATTACAGCGCATTCATTAGAAGTTGACATGTTCAGGGTTATTCACTAAAGTGACTAAAGCCAGGAATTCAAAGTCATTTTCAATTTTAAATTCAAGGTAGCCAATCTGGACTGGAAGTAAAAAAATTTATAACTTTGCTTGAATTGACTTTGAACTCCTGACAAATCTCACTTTAGTGAATAAGACAACTTAGTTGCACACTTACATCTGGTTCATTCATCTGCACCAGGGATGGGGAACCTTCAGGCCCTCCAGATGTTCTGCACTACATCTCCCATAATGCTCTCACAACCATAATGCTGGCAAAGCATCAAGGGAGATGTAGTCCAAAACATCTGGAGGGCTGAAGGTTCCCCAGCCCTGATCCACGCTATAAGTGACCAGTTACCTCTTTGTAAACTGTGTAAAATCTACACTATTTAATTGAATCAAAATAAACACTTAGAATGATGTTTTTTTTATGTAGCTGACCAACCTAAAAGCGAATATAAAGCATCAAATGGATTTATTCATTGAACCTTTTTAAGGCAAAAAAAGGGGGTCAGGAAAATAAGTGAGTAGGAGAATTTGTCAAATTGGGCCAGCTTGGTCTAAAATGTGCAATTATTTTATCAGTTCCCCACAATTCCAAATTTAGCGGCTACGCCCCAACATGTTATTGTCAAACAGTTTAATGAAACATATGAATAGAAATACTAAGGGTTTATTTCTAAACACCAAAATGTGGTGAATTTAAAAAAGTACAGAATTTAGGCTAATATAGGTAAGTCGTGAACAATTGTCGCGCTGGGAGAATTTTTCCAAAACAGTTATTTTTGGCTACATTTAGCAGTACCATTTTCAATTTACTACAGTTTCATGTTTAATGAATAAATCATTCAGTTTGAACTATGATTTCACCATTAACATGACTCAATGTTTACTTTCTGAGGAACACCTTTACCGTAAATGAGAAATTCAACTGATACTTTGCGGCCCACAGAATCAACCATGCAGTTTGTTGTTGCTTTAATTTGTTGGAGAGCTAAAGATGAAATGACTTAAGAGGACTGCCAGCACATAACATAGTTTATTTAGGAATGAGAGGGTGTTTAATAAGCTACTGAGATCCACTGCGTACAATAAATAAATAAACAATTAAATTGCCCTATGCTCTATTCAGAGAGCTATGTTAACCAGGTCGGATATATTAATGTCAGAATAAACTAGGAATGTTGCGTAAAACTTTATTTGTGGGTAAGACAGAAGATCTGTAAAAAGTCAAGTAACAGATAAAACAGTATAAAGATTCAAAAATTTTTTTTTTCCTGAATGCACAGTAAAAAGCCGTTTTATTGCTTTGGAAATACATTAGCAAGCAGATGTTGCAAAATATATAAATACTATTTCTTCTGATTGCCAAGTGAACGTAAATTCATCTCTGCATATTTTGAGATGTAGGCATAAAAATAATTACATGTCTGATTAAATCCACTTATGCCTTCATGTCTTGATAAATCCACAATAAATATGCAACGCCACAATGTGTTACTTTTAAGTGCATAAATGTTCTAATGAGATTGAGAGCAGTTCAGATTACCTTTAGAAGGTTGCAATGTAATAATAAACAAAACTGCTGTTACTGCATTTTAAGGAGGTGAGTGAATAAACTTGGTGAAAGTGTATGGCTAAATCCATCCATCCATGTTACTCCATCCTTCCACCTATCTCCGTCCGTCCTTCCCTCTATCTGTCTGTCTATCTATCCATCTATCTAGGTAAGTGCAGAATTATGCTTGATGTTTGTGTGTATGTATATATGTCAGTATTTATGTGGGGGTTTACTTACTAAATTCTAAATTGCAATTAATGGAAATCTGAATGCGGCAACAATTTAGATTACAATAGCTAAGCTATCTTTCTGTCTTGTAGGCATGTTTGTATGTGTCTGTATATATAATGTGTGTGTGTGTGTGTGTGTGTGTGTATATATATATATATATATATATATATATATATATATACATTATATATATTTAAGTATCTGTGCTTGCATGCTACACACGCATATTAAAATATTTACCTGCACATATTCAACATTAGTGAGTCTTATTGTATGCAAACAAAAGGAATGTAATCGGTCTATCAGCTTCTTACTCATCTGACATTTTGGATTTTTTTTATTAATATTATGACAATACGTATTATACTGAAACAGTAGCTGAATAATTCTTTCAAGACAATTCTTTATTTCAGAACTGCTTTAATATTTTCACCACTGAATGAACTGCTTTTTGTTTCTGATAATGAATTGCATTTGGAAGTGGAGTTTATGTGAAACAAACCACTTATATTTATGTGCTTCTTCCAATGAAAGAACACTTTTTACAGTTATCCTAAAATCTAGACCAGCTACACTCTTGAAACCATGTGTGATTAAACAGCAGTTAATTGTACTTGAGGTGTTGGTCTTAGCACTGGGTAACACTTTATATTAAGAGTTTCACTATTAATATCAATTTTATCATCTCCATGGCGTGAATCAAAATAGGTTCATTTGCTATTCATGTTAAGTATAAATTCCACTTGATTTATCATTAATTAAAATACTAATTCTTATTTCCTACTTAAAGAAAAACGTGCTATATTTGTGGATCATTTGATGCATTTGAGCATCGTATAAGCTGTATCCGTTTCTCAATATCACATGTTAGAACTGGGCTTGATATAGCTTCTATGTCACCATAGTTCAATTTTTAATAATCTGCCTAGTCTAATTAGTATGGCCTTAAAATATTTAATTAGAGATCCTAAAAATAACTTATAAAATGAAAAAAAAGAATAAAAATAATTTAAAAATATATATTATTTCCCTTCCTTTGTAAAGATACATACTGACATATCCGCTCTTAACGATGGCGTTATTCTTATAAAAACACTCCATCACCATCTAATTATTATTTTACATTACATCTTGCCAGATAAATGGATAACAAGGACATGGAGTACATTCTAAGATTTTTTTTAAAACAAATGTGAAAAGGGGTACCCACTGTAGATCATCACCCATAACCTCCAAACTGAAAAAGTCACCTGTCTGTTCTTGTAGACTATAAACTCAAACACAAATAACTCTCTGCATTATCTGTTTAATTTCTCAATGTGTATGGTCCTTCTGCTCACTTTACCGACCTGTAAGATATGTTGACACTTTATAATAGAATTGAGAAAGAGCCTCATTCACCATAGATCCTTAAAGGTGACGGCCTGTTCTTTATGGGGCATTTTAGTGTTTTATGCTATATTTGATCAAATGTGGAGGTAATTTAAGCAACTATTCACTAAACTCATTGCCACCCATTTTTTTTATGAGATAGGCCTCGATTTAATATCTTTCCAATTGATTCAATACTATTAGATTTTTTTTTTCAAATGATTTATATACAAAAAGTCCCCAAAAATTTAATGGTGACTTCAGTATTTGGAATTTGGGAAGTGTTTTTTTTGTTACGGTATTAATTCATTTAGAAAGCTTTTTAAATTATGAAGGGGGTAAAGGCTATCAGTGTATATGTCATTGGCAGCATTTATTAAATAATAGAATAATACTTGCATTTACACATTAATAACTTATTACTTCTTACGTCTAGATTCAGTCACGGGTTTATTCAGTAAACTGAATTTTTTTTTTATTTTGAGAATTGGCAAACAGGCTTGTAAAGAAGATTCCAAAAACAGCCAAGCTACTGGCTGGGCTGGTTATAATTTGTTGGGGTTACATAATGATGCAGTGTGCATTAAGGGGAGATAATGCTATTGATGTTTTATTGAGACCTTGTTGTGAAACCTACTCGTTCATATATAAACTCTACTTGATAGTAAAAAAAGTCCTCAAGAGAGAATGCCTTACCAAAACAAGACAGGCAAAAATATGACAATATCCCATTTATGTTACTATAGATTTTACACTCTTTTTATAGCATGTTATAACTCCAATTATATCAACTATTTGACTGTGTTACTCATTTAAATGGATGAAAATTAGGACCATAAATATAAGTTCCATAAGACATTTTCATTTGACTGTTTAGTACATCGAGCACTAAACCAAACATATTAGAAAGTCGTATGATTGATCACTTAAAAAAAAGATCTGTTCTCAAATGTAGACTTTAGTGAACAGAGACCAGATTCACTCTCTCTCTCATAATCATCACTCGATATTTAGTCCATAGATTCTTATGAACATGCTGATCTGAGTTAGCACAATTCATTATAGTGAAACCAAGCGGTCTATTTACTAAACAACGATTTATGGTCTTCAGTAACCAATTTGCAAACCATAGGTCAAAATATCCAAAGTACATGAAACGACCTACAAAGGTGAATCGAAGATTTCTTTCAAACTACATTAATTCTACTTAAATTTTGCAGGTGGATGTCAACTAACCACAAGTCACTGCTTAGTAAATAACCCACCCTCTACCAGGAAAAAAAAAAACAGAGTAAATAAAAAAATTAATAAAACTGCCTTGCGAATATCCTGTAATGATTTCACAAACAGGTGAATGAAGACAATGTTACAATACAACATTTATCCTTCAGTTGTTTCCACAATGTAATCTAATGTAAGTAAGAGGCTATTATAAAACCTGAATTCTTTGAACTGCCTTAATGAAATGTAGACAGTCATCTTTCTTGTTTCCCAACTGAAGAACAGACTTTTTTTTTAAGACGACCTTTTGGTATGAGGAAGCCATTTTTTTTAAATTACAAGGTGCCTCCAATATAATGAAATATCATGTCTGCTGATTCTGTAGTAAAAGCAGTTTGGATGAGTTTGAACAGGTCTAAATTCAGCTAGAGTAAAGACGATATTACGAGATGCTTAATTGAGATAAATGCCTGGTAGCAGCATTCTTGAGAAACTAAAACTGCAAATGGCCGATCACTATTCACCCGTCCTATTCCATATTCCAGTATGTAGCTTAATTTTATTCGTTTTATTCAAGGTTTTTCGCTCTAACTTTCTCACTTAAGAAAATATATATATTTTTTTTAATGAAAAAAAGATTCCTTGAAGCAATTTATTGCATCTTTATACCGAGATATATTAGTTGGCAAACTATGGCAGCACATAAATAACATTGCATGTGATGCGAAACAGACTCTTATTATCTATGAATGGAATGCTAGCAAAAATAATATTGGACATTTGCCAATTGTTAGTTGCAAACCATACACCCACACTAATGTTTTGTTGTGGGCACATGGCTTTTAACAGACTTGGCTTTACTTTCTCTGGGTCTCCAAACTCAACAGTCTAGCAAAGGCATAGGCAACCTTTGGGACTCCAGATGTTTTGGACTACACTTCCCATGATGCTTTGCCAGCACTATGGGAGTAAGAGCATTATGGGGGACGTAGTCCACAACATCTGGAGTGCCGAAGGTTGCCTATCCCTGGTCTAGCAGGTCTATTCAAAGCTTGTAAATACTTCCTGACAATACACAGATTAGTAAATATATCTACCTGCATTTATCTAATAGTGCTACAACCTCTGCACATTTCACCAAGTATACTACAGCATTAAAAATGATTGATAACATTTTTATAATAACCCTTCATTGTCATTACAAGAAATGATTAGATGAGTCTCTGCATCCAAACTCCAATTTCTTTTTTTTAAACTAGAGAAATATAAAGATATTTGTAACAAAAGTTAATTTATTTATTTTATTTAAATAAAATTACTTATTTCTTTTCAAGTGGATTTCAGTTGTATGAAAAGTTTTGGACTACTTAATTTCTTGAAAAAAACTATATTGTTTTTAAATATGATAAGACAAATCAAATGTGATTTAGCTTCAACTGCTCCCTATTATGTTATATTTGACAAATGCTTTTATAAGCCTATAAATAAAGTGCCAACACATCCCTGAAGTGCTTTGTGTCATTGATTTATTTCCGAGCTGTCACACAGACTGGTTTACAAGATTTGGAGATTAAAATGCACCTGCTATGCAAAGATGGCATGTCTTGATTTTGAGGTAATACAGTATAATCTATATATTGTGCTAGCCAAATTGCTAGGAAACGTATAATAAAATATAATTACTACATTATTTGTTAGCTGTTTATTCTCAATGCAATCAACACAACATGGAAAACTACAAACATGGCAGCTGCCGTGGCTGGACCTACATCATCTTCTTCCCAGAAGTGTAAACGTGGCATCCCACAATGCCTCGCATATAGCTGAATGCCACATTGAATCTCTTTTGGTTACTTCATATTTTTCTTTTGCTTTACTGACATAGGTTGGTTTGCAGTACAGTCTAGCATGTCAATGGGGAAACTCCCAGAATCATACCCATACAGTCACCAGCTGCCTTCTGTGATCTATACATAGAACACAAATCCACTTTGCTTGCCTGTAACCTACAGCAGATTAAATGACACAATCCAAGACAGGCAGTCAGTAACAAATGGTTCTCACAAGCTACATTACCGAGAGAAAGCAGCACACCAATATGCAGTCTTTACCCAGGCTGCACACTACTACCCATTGCATGGCATAACATCTGGTGGCCAAGCTATGGTTATTTAGGCCTAATAACCGAGAGAAAGTGGCTTTATCCTGGGGCCCTATTCACATGTCCTTTTCGGACCCCTTCTATACACCATACTTATCATCAGCACCGCAGCAAGGCAGAGGCAAGCATCTGTGTTTGGAGGCCAATATAATTTCATATGCAGCCTATCAGCCTGTCTGTGACATCACTAGCTAGACCTGCACCAACAAGACCTGGGTGTACATAAGCTTCTGTATCATCTGCATCACCTACAGCAGCTTACCCACCTCCTGTAACTGAGAGAAATGTAAAGGTGTATGTTGCATGGTTTTGGAAGGATGCCTTGTTTTGGCTTTGATTGTATGGTACCGCCCAACAAAAGACAGTAGATTGTGACAGATGGCGTATAAATGGTATACAAGGTTAATTTGTCTCCCTTCCAGCTGTGTACAATACAGCAGTTATCTGCACGCCATATATGAGAGTGCCATTTAAGCATGATAACGATATTCATACGGTATTAAAAGGCTTAAACTTGTCAAAATTACCTAGGATATCTCACATGGTTTATGCAAATGGTCTTTGTGGCAGGTCTAAACTTATGCTCCATATAAAAAAAGCCGCTGATATGTATAAGGAATGGCAAAACATGTAGTATCCCAGAATAATGCCATTGAAGCTGCCTACTAGGAGCCCCGGAACTGACTGTCTTAGTCAAAGCATCCATTGCAGAAAATAATGCATTGGTAACAGTGCAGTAACGGGGTTTGAAAGCATTATATCCCAAATATGGTTTTGTTACTTCCTAAAATGTAGCAAAACTGTACTTGGTGATTGTTGTAATAAGAATTTATAGCTGAACCTAAACTGGGTTTCTTTACTCCATCTTGACACTTACCCAGTGCTGAAACCCACATCATTATTAGTGTTATTATTATTATCATTATTATTATTATTAGCAAAAAGGCACATGTAACCTTTGGTGTGTATCTTTTTGTCATCTATGCATAAAAGTAAATATATCTTTCCGGTTTATCTCTTGGAGCTGTGCGAGAAGCCATCTTTGATTACTTTTTGGTCAGAATCAAAGACCATGGATCTAACTGAGACATAGTGCTGGCTCATGAATCCCGATGTCACATGCAAGTGCTAGACATCTCTAAAACAGACTGGAGGCTGGTTGCAGCTTCCCAAATTGAACATGGTATTTGGTCAGCTAAACAATGCTTGCATACAAAGATGGCCGCTCCCACAGAGTAAAGATACGCTTGTAAATACAGTGAAAAAAGGTATTTATTTGTATGTATTCATTATGAAAATAATACATAAATGAGCTATATTGCCTGTGAAGTTTAATTTTCAGTAATAATTTTTTTTAAATGCCAGTTTCCCTTTAACCCCTGGCATCCTTTGAATTACTGATTATGTCACTATAAACCCTATAGTTGGATTTTGTTTTGTTTTGAGTCATAGAAAGCCTTGAAACATTTCTGAAATATAATCTCCATATAGTACACAGTTAACACGATAGCAATTTTGCAGTGGAACACTAATGAGTTTTGCTGCTGGCATCTCAATCAGTGGAGAGCCAGGGGAATGAGATTTATAGCTACGGTTTTATTATGAAGTGAAGGCTGACGTTTTAGCTTTGCAGTATGAATTGCCAGATTATTGTGACTGGTTTATTTAAAAAACACTTCTATACTCTGCAGAGCAGTACAGTGGCTTCAGCCATTACAGTAATTCACTACATTTTGTAACAGTGTATTATTTGTCGTTATTTCTGGCTTTTTTTCTTTAATACTAAGCCATGGAAACTTTTTTACATCCTATATTACAATTTATGGTGACAGTGCTCAAAAACAGTAATTTGTAAAATAATTTGACCTCCTAGTTTTTCCTGTAAACCTATTCCACTAAACTCTTGGGTCTCTTCGCTATCATCTCCACTTACAGAAATTGAGTCAAGACAAAATACGTTTCTAAATTACTTCTGACTTCTTGAAAAAAAGGCTGCTTTAGAATTCTCTTCCACTTCTGTCAATCATTAAAATGATTGACAGAAAAACCCCCACTTATATTATGCTTATAGATAAATTAGCTGCTTATACTCACCATGCCACCAAGACTGGTGAATGGCCTGAACAGTGGATCTCATATATTACTTTAGAACCCTAATGTTTTTTGCATCCCCTTCTTTTCCTCTCAGCTTCCACTTTTTCTTATCAAAACCCCTTTTTCAATCTGCAACCCACATTCATCCCTACAACAAGAAGATCATTTAATTTGGAACATTGCAGCTTTAAATGCCCAACCCCACATCCATCCATGCAAAAAGAAGGCCATCTAATTTTACCCAGCTCTACCCACCCACCCTGGTTCCTTCTAACTATATAGCATGCTCTTCCAGCTGTTTGAAACCACTGTCAATCACCTCCTCATTCCCTTCACGTGTTACTGCAATTATACTATTAATTATCTCTGCCATCACATACAATTCCTCTGCTACATCGCCCCATTTCACCATCTTCCCCTCTCCATTGTCATCATCTCATACCTAACCCAGGATCTCCTTTTGACCACCTCTAAGCAGGGCCGGCGCTTGTATTAGGCCAATTAGGCAGTGGCCAGCAGGGGCTGTAATGTTCATCTGAACACCCAATTTTAACCTTTAGATTGTAAGCTTACG